CTTTCTTCTCTCTCTCTCTCTCTCTCTCTCTCTCTCTCTCTCTTTTTATTCTACGGGATATCCGTGCGCGTTCGGAGGCTTTACACGTATTTACACCGCGATTACGAAGTCACGGACATTTCGTTGGCTGTTGTGACCGCGATCGAAGTCGCACTCGGCCTCGCTTAGCTCAAACGCGTCGGAGAAGCCCGAGGGTGGGTCCAGCTTGGGGACGAACAGGTTTCCTGATCCGTCACGCTCCTGGTCCCGATTGGCATAGGTATTGCCCGACTGGTGCTTGGGATGGCCAGACCCGGCGATTGGCCCGAAGTTGGCACGGGCCTCCTCGCTGGTATGACGCGCCAGCTGTAACATCCTAAATGCAAACAGACCTTCCTTTACCTTGTACCTCATTTTATGCGTGGAACAGATTTGATTTAAAATCTAGGAGACGCGATATTTAACTCAATTTCTATATGATTTAATTATTTAATCATCAATCTAGACATTGTGTATGTTTTAAATATATTATGTAATTTAAATATACTATCAAATTTAACGACTTACAAAGATGTTTAAAGGAATTATTAGTTTAAAAATTCAAGAGGGTTAAGGGAATTAATTATCGACTGGCGATTAGCTTACTTGGGTCTTCCCCTTCCAGGAAACGATTTTCTCTCAAAAATCGGTGAGGGTTCTGTAGACGTGCTAGATTCTGGTCCATGGTACAGGAAGTCTGTAAGCAAACGTTTGTCTCTTACTTTTAATTCACCAAACATAAATCGCAGTGCTCTCGCGACTTCGCGATGAATTTCGTTGTATATCTACATTGCGCGACGCATAATGGTTAATTCGTGCAACAAGCAAGATTGGAAATAGACACATTGTGCGTCGGGAAAACAAATAACGTGCACGCGTTACCGTAGCCCTCGAATTTCAAGATTTCATGATATCGATGGCAACTTATAAGCAGCGAGGTCCTTGCAGCGAAATTGGTGCGTAACGTAGGAATTTCGAATCTAGAAGCGACAAGGATTTTGCCTTCAGCGAGAATGCATCGAAAAAAGAATTAAAAAAAAAAAAAAAAGACAAGAATCTTTTAGCTTTCTTCTATCCTACTGCTACACTTCTGAGGAGAAGAGAGATAGAGAAGAAAAACAAACAAACAAAAAAGAAGAAAAACTAGAAT